CAAAAGGGAAATATCAAGGAAAATCGATGTAAAAGATAATCTCGGAGATAAAATTTAAGTGATATTAAATTTTAATTTATGAGATGTAAGTACTTGTGTCACTTATTATTTGTTTTTAATTATACACAAGATGCTGCTGATGAAAATACGACCATTTTTATGATGATAATTTTCAAAATCTTTTTAATTGCATGAAATGATCCACCAATATCAGTGGAAGAATTATGGGCATTTTATAATCGCAACATTACTTGAACAAACACGATCATTTATCCACGCAACGCTAATTGTAAATGAAAAAATAATTTGAATAATTACGATGGAAAGATATCGCAATACTAATTTTTTTAGATTAATTTGATAATTTGCGATAATTCATAATGCTACAAATTAAATTACAACTTTACGTTTTTCTAATGCAACTTGTCTAATTCAACAAAGTAAAAGAAAATCAAATCAACACATTAATATTTAAGAAATTTTCAATGAAAAAACAAACGCGATCAACATTATATTCTAATTCTAACTCAAACCAATTTTTATTTATTTGCAAAATTTCGTAACTCTAATTCAAACCGATATTAATTAATCTCAACATTAATAAAAAAGCCGCGGTTTGCCCAAAATAATGTTGAATCGATGTATATATATGTATATATATAGGTTAAAAAATAACTACAACTATTACGAGCATAGTGAACAATGACTGTCCATTCTCTGGACGGATTTCCCATCCATAGGATGGAAAGCCATTAGTAGTAGCCCTCTTCTATGGCAATTTACCGGGCCTCTTCGGCATGGAGCCTCTTCTTTCTTCGGGCGCAATGCCCACTGAAACTTAGATCTAGGTTCGAGATTCTCTAATCGCGACAATGTATATGCAAAATATCGATTGAAATATCCATCACGCAATCTCAAATTTGATTTCCAAAAACAGATCGGACACGCGAAAATGGGCCCACCAGAAACTATACTAACTTGCCCGGTCCTACCTACTTATAATTACATACAGGCACACCAGAAACTCTACCTGCCTACCAAGCCCCTCTATATTTAAGAAAATAAGCAAAAGACAGGCATATCAATTCATTCATTCCACGGGTCTCACACAGACACTCGGGCGCAGACCTACACTAGAGAGGACGTCCCGGGACGCCTCCGACACCCGAGTTTGGCACACAACTTTCACACTCTAATGTACGTACCATTTTCCTGAAATCGACTGATGATTGTTAGTGATCATTGCGTAAAATTTGATGAAACATAATGTGCTAGTGTTACATTTGCGTTATGAATCAATGATCTGCTATACCGTATCATATAATAAATGGAATAGAAATTACGTCAATGCGTATTAGATGATATTTATATTTAAATTCTTCACTTTTCAGTTTTCACAGATTTTGAAACAACACAAATTTGCCATTCACTTTTTCACTTTTTTTTTTTAGCTTATCTTTCGACATCTCGATCATTGTTAAGAATACACTTTTAAACACACACATTTACTAAAAATTGCATTCATCAAATTGCGAAGAAAATTTACATTATTAGCAATGCACTTACACTGTATAAAACATATATGACATAATACGATAATCCTTCAACATAATAGAATAATATACACAACACAAACATAATACAATAAAATTAGCAACATCCAATATTTTGCGAGAATGTCACTTTTTATCAAAAATTTCACTTTTTATCAAAAATTTCATAAATAATTCACTGTTGAAAACACATCACTTGTACTTTATGGATTGACGTTCCAAAACTTGTATTAAGACAATCATCTTGGTTCAGTTAGTGAAATCATAGATGTTTTCATATAACACTTTATAACACCTTATTCAACAATTCAGAACTTCAACAACATTTAAGAATTTTTTAACAAATTTGTGTAGCACTGACAATAGTAACTTGACCTTAGTAAGATAACTTAACATTGATTTTATAGTACTGAATAGTTAACGACACTTTCACAAATTAAGCCTGCTACAACAATGTTTCGAAAATCACAAAACAATAATAATACAAATACAAAGAACAATATCACTATACATTAAATATAAAATACACATGACAATAATTTCACTATACATTAAATATAAAAATACACACTATACATTACATTAAATTACAAAAATTAATAACTGAATACACTAATAATGTAATAAAAAGACACTAGTGAAAACTTGAATACACTAGTAATGAAGAAACTTACTGTCACAGAACTATATATGGCACTTGTTTGAAACTTCACTTGTAAATTGTAATTCTGGCAATTCAAACAACACTTCTTGACTTGTTAAACACTTCTACTGAACTGATTATTTGAAGCCAAAAGAATAAATGTAAAAGGCACAAGGGAAAACAAGTAAGTCGATTTGTTCATCACTGCAATGGACACAGTAAAGTCAATAGTATCAATACATCAAATCGTATACACATTGAACTATATATGAAACTTCAAATCGTATACACATGGAACTTATTTGAAACTTCACTTGTAAATTGAAATTCTAGACGACTTTTTGACTTGTTAAACACTTCTACTAAACTGATTATTCGAAGCCAAAAAGATAAATGTAAAAGGCACAAGGGAAAACACACATAAGTAAGTCAATTTGTTCATCACTGTAACGGACACAGTAAAGTCAATATTATCAATACATCAAATCATATACACATTGAAGTATATATGGAACTGATTTGAAACTTCACTTGTAAATTGAAATTCTGGACGACTTTTTGACTTGTTAAACACTTCTACTGAACTGATTATTCGAAGCCAAAAGGATAAATGTAAAAGGCACAAGAGAACACACGTAAATCGATTTGTTCATCACTGCACGGACACAGTAAAGTCAATACTATCAATACATCAAATCATATACACATTGAACTATATATGGAACTTATTTGAAACTTCACTTGTAAATTGAAATTCTGGACGACTTCTTGACTTGTTAAACACTTCTACTAAACTGATTATTCGAAGCCAAAATGATAAATGTAAAAGGCACAAGGGAACACACGTAAATCGATTTGTTCATCACTGCACGGACACAGTAAAGTCAATACTATCAATACATCAAATCATATACACATTGAACTATATATGGAACTGATTTGAAATTTCACTTGTAAATTGAAATTCTGGACGACTTTTTGACTTGTTAAACACTTTTACTAAATTGATTATTCGAAGCCAAAAGGATAAATGTAAAAGGCACAAGGGAACACACGTAAATCGATTTGTTCATCACTGCACGGACACAGTAAAGTCAATACTATCAATACATCAAATCATATACACATTGAACTATATATGGAACTTATTTGAAACTTCACTTGTAAATTGAAATTCTGGACGACTTTTTGACTTGTTAAACACTTCTACTAAACTGATTATTCGAAGCCAAAATGATAAATGTAAAAGGCACAAGGGAACACACGTAAATCGATTTGTTCAACACTGCAACGGACACAGTAAAGTCAATACTATCAATACATCAAATTATATACGCATTGATGTAATTTTAATTCTCTTGTTCGAAATGATATGATGTAATAAATTATTAAATTTATCTCAATATTCGCAATAATATTAGGAATAAAAAAATATGAGATTTAAGTGATTAACTTGAACTTGAATATTTTTTTCATAATTTCAATTCTTTACGAATTTAGTTTACCACTAGCATTTAAATGTAACTCTGAGATAAAAAGATATTTGCTATATTTAATCGTATTTAGTATTGTTATAATATATTTATGTAATTTGTTAATATTTTAAAATTATATTGATTTGAAACGACGCAATTCCACAGCCTAACCACACACACACACAATGTGAAAAATACGTCGTGCACAATACACTAACGCATCATCAGTCGCTGAGAAATAATTAAGCTTATAAACTATTATCATCATGCCCTTTGCCTTTCTCCCACCCAAGTAGCACCTGAGCACGTGAGTGGGGTCCTGGCAATGAACGTGGAAAGAATTAAACCTGAAAATCCTGAGCTAAAAAGATAATAATTAGTATATTTATTTTATATATATTTTAGAACGAGCTAATTTATTTAGTTTTTTCCATGTTTCAATTTAATGAATTTGTTGAGATGCTAAATTTGAATGAAAAAAATTTAATAATAAATATATTTGTTAAAATAGAGATTAAGATAAATAGAGGCAAATAATAGATATCAAATTCAATGAATAATATTAAACTTTAATATTAAGTGAAATGTTAATGAAAATATCCTCAGGTGATTTCTTCATCAAAGCACATCTTTGATAACAAGAAAGTAACTTTCAAAACTATAACTTTGATTCTGAAATTTACCTGTCGCGAAGTGTCTTCTTGCATATAAAATTTGATACATTCTTGGATAAAATTGTAATATATTTACATTCCATATTTCAAATTCTATTAAAATTTCTGAATATGCAACTCAAATTCTAAAATTGTTCCAACAGAATATTATATAAATTATTATCGTACAAAATAAAATAAAATTTATGATTATGACAATTTTGATATGTATTACGATAAATCTAATTATAAATTTTTATAATATTCGACTTTACCACTACAAAATACTCAAATAGACTCATAATATTGTGATTTTCATATTTTGTTATATTTGTATGTAATTTTATTTTTGCAAGTAATAATATTGAATTCTTTCTTTAGAAATAACTAGTGAATACATATTGTGATTTTCGATCATAAACATATATACTAATTATGAATATCATATCGTTCATATCAATTATTTATATTATAATACTATATAATAGAAATTTGCATTAGCATACTATGCAAGAAGACCTATCCTGAGCTAATAAATAAAACAAGTATAATAGATACTCGCAGTCACTATGCTCGTTAAAAATTCTACATAATACAACCAGTCACTCGTATCGATTCAGACCTTTCATCCTACGATATGATTGAGTGACCAGAAGAACAAAAATATACGACTCACGATTAGATGTGAAGAACGTTGTCACAGATGCTGCAATAGCTCAGAAGTCGTCAGGTATGAAACATCTGCAACAAATATTAATGCTTGGTTTCAAACACTGTGTTGACTAAGATAATCAAAAATTAATCTTTATTAAACATAAAATTTTGATAATTATTGCAAAGTTCTAAAATTGGAAATTCGTGATTACTAAAGATATTTATAATTTAATGTTAATGTTCAATATTCCAATTGAAGCAAAATACAAAAAATAGAATTGATTGAACTGAAGTCTGCAAGGATAATTTTTAAAAATATTTTAAAAATATAATAGAATTTTATTAAGCTTAGAACTTTAGTTTAGTAAAATCTAGAAATTGGAAATCTGATAATAGTTCACACAATTATATTAAATATTTTCATTCTATAATTCAACATTAAATCTTCAAGACTTTATTTCTATAAAAATTAATAATAATTCAAATAAAATATAAAAATTAAAATAAATTAAATATTTACATTCTTGTGCCTTTGGAGAGGCTTTATCCTCTTGAGCACTGACTTTAATACCGAAAACGAACATTTAAAAAATATATACGTAAATATGAAAAAAGAAAAATAATAGACTAATGCCCGCTTAGGTAACAATCGGCGAACAAACACTGCCTCTAATTTCGCGTAAATATAATTATTATAATTAAATTTAACGAGAACTATTGTACTCTGAAGAATATTAAAATAATAATAAGTACTGATTCTACCAACTGCACTACACGTCGTCATGAGTGTTCACTGAAAAATAAAAATTGCATTAGTAAGAAAATAAAGAAAAGTATACAAATATTTTATTTTCATATTTTACTACTTTCTATCAAACATTTGTTTGAGTGTTATTTATACAAAATGTTATTATTGTCAATATTATAAAATATTTTTGAATAGTATCAAATATTTGGAGATATATAATATAATTGATTTCTATCGTGACTATTTGCATTAAAGAATATTTGGAATAAATCAAAGTTTTTCGATTAAATATGTTTGAAGAGACAAAAACTGCACGTGTTCGTAATGGTATTAAATCAAGAAACAATAAAATGATTATTGACAAAAGTCAAAAGATGAAAAATGAAAGTATTACACACGAATTATGCATTGCGAAATTCCGAATCAAATACATATGTATCATAAAATAAGTAATCGTATATTAAATCATTACCAATGATCCAATGAGAAAACGCAGATTGCTTTCGACGCAATAAATGAAATATTAACGAATCTTCGAAAAAAACGATCAAATTGACTGTTGATCATCATGGCGTCCATATTTGAACTCCTATTCCTTCCATATGCATCCCGCCATTAACTAATAACCTGTACAAAAGAAAGCCAACAATTATATATAAAACTAATATTGATTATATTAACAAATAAAACAATAATTGTAATTCAAGATTTATCTTAAATGTAACTAATATAAGCTATCGACGGTGGTAATAACGAAATACATATCGAAATATATATCGAGGAAGAAAGAACAAAGGCAAAGAATCAAAAGATTATACAATTTTGTTATAATAATATTTAATAAATGAACAAATGAATGTATGTTAATTAAACGAACCTAATTTTACTGTGCAAAGGCAGGAAAATAACTATGAAAAGAATTATTACGTAGTTAATAGGCGACACGACGCGACGCGAATAGATACGTGTTTACGCTTCGAGTTTTGACACTTGAATGTCTCTCTATATCGCATCTTACCTTGAGAATTGGAGAGGGGATGATATTTGTTGTTAGTCCAGCGTCAAGTCAAGCGTTTGTACAAGAGTTCTTGGAAACGCTGCGCCCTAAGAAAATGTTTTCAACACAAAAACAAACTCATATAATCCCAAGAAGTAAATTTACTAGTCTGAGAGATTTTAAAGAAGGTTAAACTGTATTCAACAATGGAAGGGAATAGAGTGAAATTATATTTCTACATATATATATTTTACTTCATTACTGTACATTAACGTGTATAGACAAGTAATTTTTTCTCGTGTCGTGTGTTTTCAATCACTAATAGGATATTTTTTGTGCAAATATTAATAAATATAAAAAGATACAGCATTTTTAATGTAGCGATTTTCAGCACGAATCAACGTACGTGATCGATCGAATTATTAAAATGGCCGCATTGTTACACACGACAATTGCTGACTTACTTTTTTGAGACTTTTGAACATCCTTCTTGTATCTAAGGTTCTGCTTCATTATTCCATTATTAATTATTGGCATTTTACACTGCGTGTGCTGATCAATTCCCTAATTTCTGTCATATGCTATTAATTATTTCACAAAATAATGACTGATCACATACATGCAACACCTGACGCCGCATAAAAGATGATACTGCGTTTTAACACTTGTGGCGCTATGATCGTGATGTTCAATGATTGATCGATCAGTCGTGTACAAAATCGATTTTCGATACAGTACGTTTGTACTTTGGAAGTAGCATTTTTATTATTCGCGTGTGAATTAATTGTTAGTCGCGTTGAATTTTAATCGAATTTCAATCGAATTTAATATATTAGGTGAATAATAGATTGGTAACAATAGTGATGTGTAGTGTAAAAGTAATATATCAAGATATGTGTATTACTGTTTGACATCTTTGATGCCTGAATAACCTCACTTATGGACTTTTGAAGAAATTCAACGTATAAAAAGGTAAGGGAGAATACTATTATAATATTTCTTCATATTAAATTTATCACAGTGAATCTTACACAATTTCATACAGTAATTATACAATGATTATTAACAAATATCGCACTTTTTTTTCGATCGAATAAACCTAATCAAAAAATTCATCTTTTCGTCATGATATTAAAATTGGAACGTGGCACAAAAATATCTCGCGTCCACGCGAAGATTTTAATATTTTAATTTTATGAAAGGTTAAACGGTAGAGATCATCCAATTAATTATCCATTAAAACCTTTTAATACTTTTAACGACTTTCCTCTCATGATAAATTAAAAAAAAGATATTCTCTGCCCGTATTAAATCAATTGCAAACTCTCGTTATCAAAAGTACTGCACAATTAATTTACGTTTTCTACTACGTAGAAATCAGAAACAGCTCGTTTGAAGCAGTCGTTGTTCGTCTTCGCGAGACTTCTTCGCCTTGTATAAGACACTTACGTAAATTACGCAGCCGATTCACAAGTTCGTAGGAAGAAAAACCATGTGAACGTCAGTCCGCGTAATTGCTATCGACGTGGTTGCATATGCTTGCGATCACACAGCTCGATCGTTCGCGAGTACGTACTCCTACAAAATTTAGTGACTAGCGGTTTCCGCGACGATCTCAATTAATTTCCACGCAATTAACTTCCAATGCCTGGAGCGGGTCTCCGTGCGTGAACTTCTCGTCGGTAAATCACAGCGATCATGCAGTGCGTGTATGCGTTATCCTCGTACACCGTAGGTGAAAAGCCGTAGGTCGAAGGTGTAAGTGTTCCACGGGAGGACGCGGATACGCGGGGGGGTGAGAGAGGATTTAAAGCTCGTGCAAACACGCCGGATCTCCGTGCTAGCATAAATACAAGGAACAAGGTGGCAAATGGCACGGGGGTAGCTCGTTCCTTCCTACCGTGTCCCACACCAACCCCCGGATCTTCTCTTGTTTCCGTGTACGAGGCGCGGACAACTTTAGTCTGTTCGGAAAAGTAAATGTCGAGAGGTTTATTTTGGCCGTTGTTTTGTTGGAAATTTCGGGCGCGAAATGCGTTGATGAGGCATTTAATTAAAGCGACAAAGCGTCTTAGAATCTTGTTAATAGGTTATTAATTATATTAGACGAAACCAAGTATTTTGGGTTTGATATTAATGTTAGAGGATACCCAAAGTTTTGCGTATTGCGTACATTTGCGTACCAAATGTGAAAGGAATTGCTGGTAAATTGTTGGAATTAGAGTTGCAATGTTCGATAACATTGTGCCATAGTAGCTACTTGCGTTAGATTGCTAAAATTTAGAATTAAAAGTTCTAATTCTTAGAATTAACATTTAAAATTTAGAAATTCAATTAAATTAAGAATTTGAAATCCTAGTAATCTGACTTTAAATTGTTATCAATAAATAGTTAAAAGTTGAAAACAATTTGCGTTATAGTTTATATTCGAATTTGAAAAATTTTTAAAGTAAAGAAACGCGAGAATGATATATAATTTAGAAATATTTCAAGAATTTCACAGTTTTACGATTTCACATTCAAAGTAAATAATTGTAGAAATTTACATTTTACAATAGCAGAAAGTAAAAAGTAAAGTAGAAAGAATGCGACATATATGCGGGGAATATATACTTTAATGTAATATCCATTTTACAATTGTCTGAAAATCGTATAATGTTCCTTGGAACAGTTTCATTTTATCGTTATGACGAAGAGAAACATTTTAAACGCGACGTTTGGAAGCTCACCCCGTACATCGTTAAGCGTATTCATGAACTTGGAACGGGATAGCTGGTGGAGGGAATTAAAATCACCCTACTTATTGTTGGCGTGCGGCTTTTCGGCCGTTCGGTGACGCACGCTGGAAGATCAACTGATTTCGTCGTACAGAAGGGGTCGGGCTTTGTCATACATGGACCTAATATTTCTGAGAGGGCTGGTACGCCGCGATGGATGGCGCAAATTAGGTGAACTCGTTTGACTTGGATTTTAGTTGGGACGTTGACCGATCGCTGGTTAATTTAATTATACCGCTCAAATACCGTTCAGTGTTACGTTAGCTACGAGAAAGTATTTCGTATGCGGAAAAACGAAAATCGCGGCGATTCTCTATTTGTAAATTCGTTGTTACCATTAATGAGATACATTTATCAGGCGTGAAATCGAATTTTACGTTACGTTTGAGTCTTCCCTCGGTGTCTTAAGTTTAATTGTCTGTTGTTTCACGTAATGAATCGTAATAATTTTCTGTAACTACCGATAAAACGATTTAGATAATGGGTTACGTGATATAGATCTCGATCGTAAATATTTCAAGTCGAACTCCACTGTTCATATACTGCTATCCTATCTCTTCGTTTAACTTTTATTTTCTTTTTAAAGAAATTATTTTGAACGAACAAACCAGTAAACAAGTTATTAATAAGTGTTGAATCTACAATGATAAGATCCATATTATTCGACCTAGATAACATAGGAGAAAATTCGAGAATCAGTATTTTTCGTTTCGAAAGGAATCGGACGCTGCTTAGAAGACCAATTGAATGCCATGTCCTATCAGCTGACATTTCCATTTCTTTTATAAACGAGCCTTTTCTACGGGTACGTTCGATCTCCTTAAATCCCCGGAAATCGCCAGGTTCGTCGAGCTCGCCGAAAAACAGCGATTCTCTCTTCCGTGGCCATTCAGCGGACGTTTTCTTCAAGGTGGAACAAGGCACCGGTTTTTTCCCGAATCACATTCTGCCTAGGTCAGCCGGATCTTCTCTCTTTCCTTGCCCTCGTCTCCGAGATCCTGTCCCTTCGGTTCTACGCGGAACGACGATCCACCTCCGAGAAAACATCTCTTATGTAAGAATCGATACGCGTAGGAAAGGAGGATGTGCAGAGGGTAAACGAGGTGGCTGCAGAGAGATGGCGAGGGTGAAAGACAGAGAGGGAATGAAAGATGGAGAGAGAGAGAGAGAGAGAGAGAAAGGGAGAGTACTGGAAAGAGAAAGAGAAGGAGAGAGGGCGGGAAGTAGCACCGTTTCAGAGTTCCCTTAGCGATCTTACTCGAGCGCCGGAAACATCCCTTATCCTCGAGGTACCTCGAGATTCTTCTTCGCGTTTGAACTCTGCCACGTGAGACGTACCTCCTACCACTGGCGCGCACCGTTCTCCTATTTCTCTCTCATTCCCTCTCGACCGTCTCCTCTCTTTTCTTTCGGCCGCCAGTGGCGTTGTCGGTGTCGGTGCTTCTTCCTCTTCTTCCTTATTTTCTCTTCCCGGTCCGCCCACCCCGGAAGAGTCGGTAGATCGTCCCAGAGACGACCTACGCGTCCCGTGACGCGTACGTAGAACCTCGAGCTTGCAAGGATGCTCGAAGGTTGGGCCACCGTGGAGCGCAGATGGAGGACGGTGGGATGGGGTTGGCGGAAAGGAGGTTGGAGATGGCGGTACGGAGTTGAGCCAGGAGGGCGGTTGGCAGGCGCGGGGTTGGAAACGTGGTGTTTGTTCGGGACGATAGTGTAAGACGGTGACGTGCACATCCCCTGCCAGCCTGCCAGTCTGCCAAGCAGAGTCTGCTTGCCTCTCTGCCTTGGCTGCCACTGGAAATGGAGGGTGGTTTCAACCCTTAGGTCGGGCGTAGCGTTGGTGTGGGTGAATGTGGGAGGTGGTGAAGGCGAGGAGGAACGATGGTACACGACGTGGAAGGAGGAAAGGCGGCAAGCAGGAGAGTTTCAGTCCACCAGGGGTAGGAGGAAGAGGAGGAAGAGGAGGAAGAGGAGGAAGAGGAGGAAGAGGAGGAGGAGGAGAAGGGTAACGAAGAGAACGAGGGAGAAAGAGAATAACAGACTCGCCTGTATGGCGTAGTAGCCAGGGGCCGAGAAGTACTTTCGAGGTCGGCAGGGCCGCCTTAATTATCGTCGCGTTTCGTGAAAGCTTCCACTTTATTTCGTCGTTCTTCTTCTGATCGTATGCCGTACGACCTCTCGGAACCCGTTATTTTTGCACGAGCAACGTTTAAATTTTTCCTCCCTCGCTGCACTGGCGCCTTTTTCCCCAGGATTTAGTCGAATTTTCAGGGCGAGGTATTTTTTTTAGGATTACCATGAACGTTATCACGATGATTATCAACGTTACCCTCGTTTTGTAATAGGCGCCAATTATACGGATAAGTGGAACGTCAGAAATTAATGCAAAGGGATGTTTGGCTTGGGGTTGCTCATTGTGTTAGGGTCCATTGTTCATCCCATTGAAATGGATATAGAATGAGAACCTTGCCCTAACGGCGGATAAGTCAACTTTCTTTTTTTCTCTCTCTCTCTTCACGCAACCGTCCCTTTTTCGTTTACCTTCGAGGGAATGCAAGATCGAACTGTTCCACAATCGGCGTTGAGAAGAGTCGTCGCCGCTGAGGACCAATTTTGTTCACTAGCCGACTAGTCGAAACTTGTCGGATTAATAGAGTACATGGTGGAATGAAGACACAAGAAATTCTTTTCTTCGAGCGTTCCGTTCGAAGAGTTTCGCTGCTCTATTGAAATTATTAATCTTCCGCGTAATTACGTCGGTACTTTCATCGACGTGACTGTTCTACTTTGTCGTCGCTACCGTCGTTACTCGGGACTCTCAAAAATGCTCGGAATTTCCAAGAGGGGACGCTTAACCCTTGGGA